TATACTGTAGCCGCTTAATGCTAGCTATAGGGCCTCACAACTTTACACCAAAATCCCACTGCGATAGCTGAAGATACAAGATCCGTTCATAAGCAGAGATCTTAGCTCTAACTAACCACTTTGAATCATTTAAGTCTACAGATTTGATAGAGTAGTTAGTAATGTTGATCAAGTTTTTTTGGAACAATTTTTAGATTCATGCACTGAATTTAGTAGGAAGGTTACGATGTAAAACAAAAGCAAATAATCATTATGCTACAAAGAACTTCACTTTCTCTTATTCCTTAGTAGTTTGTTTTTGGAAATAGATAGTTAAAAGATGGGGTACATTTTTAGGCACTCTGAGCATGATAAAACATAAGATTTTGTGAAATGAAAGAAAGTAAACAACACATTTTTCATTCAAAACCTGAACAGACAGTCACTAAAGACGGCAGTCCTCTAGGATAATTGTGGGAGCTTAAAACTCAAATTCAAAAATGTAGAAGAGGTCACATGTTGAGGTGACAATATTTATCAAAACATTTTTCCCGCTGATCTTTATAATATCGAAAGTGCTAAGTCCTTTGCTCAATAATTTTTCTTAATTGCTGCAAAGTGTCACTCTGTACTTCTATCATAGAAGTCTGCTTTAATCATGCCCAAATTGAATTTGGGCTCCGGTTTCTTGAATGCACAACTTTGATCAAGTAATTGGGGATCCGTACGTTAAAGTTGTGCGCTACGATGCTGGAACTTTTGTAGACTGCTCGAAAATCTTTCGAACAAATCCCGCCTAAGTTGCACTTCAACTATTGGATTATTTTGCTTGTTTTAAAAAATGTCCTATAGCTTGTCTTCAAACATGCAGATAGTAGGCTATGTTTATATAATGACTGGCTAACCTATAAGGAAGGCTAGCCTAAAAAAATGTGTGTAACATGCAGCGTTGCGTGATTTGAGAACACAAAATTGCTTCTCGAATTGTGAAAAATGGCTTTCTGCAGAAAATTGAATTATTATATGAGACACAAAATTAGTAGAACTTGATGGTGTTTTCCGAAAAGTTTCTCTGCTGCTTTTCTTACAGCTAGAAACGTATATAAAAGCTTATACAAACGCGAACATTGTCTCTTGATGTTAATCACTGAGAGGTAGCTTACGGTGGCAAGTTCTTGGGATGTAAGAATTTTGCTTGTGGATAGTTGATTTTG